GAAGAGTCGTTGTCAACCAATAGGAACTTGCCTATGCTTGCACAAGGATTTAACTAGTGCTGTGCATGAGTAATTATGTGGAGATGGGTACAAATCAAATGCCATGCTGATATGGTATGATACGATAGTATTCATGCATGCCAAGGAAGCATGAATCCCGTTAAACAAAGAACGTTATTATCCTCCACCCCCCCCCCCCCTTCCCCCTCCCCCCCCCAGCCCCAGCAGTGGCAGTAGCAAGGCAAAAAGTAGGCGCAGTTATCCCCCCATGTGCGCAAACAACATCTCCAGCTCCGTTCCAACACTGCTGCTACTACTACTAGCCCTACTACTACTACTACTACTACTACTGCTACTACTGCTACTAATACTAATAAGAATAATACTAATAACAATGCTAATACTACGACGACGACCACGCCCACGACTACCACTACCACTAGTATGACTTCTACAACCACGACGGCAACGACGACGACTGGGCGACTGCGACTACGACGATGGTCCGACGACGGTTGCCACTACTCTACTCATAAAAAAACTTACATAGAAAATCCGAAGACTAGCTCCCATGGCCCCCCCTCCCCGCCCCAAAACCTCAGGTTTCCCGTTTCAGCAGCGGCTTGTCGAGGCCCTCGCTGTCAATCACCATCGTTTGCCCATCCTCGTAATCCAGCGTTATGCCCAGCCTGTGGTGGCAACAGCAAATGCTAAGGTGCCTTGCCGAGCCCTTAAGTCGGTTGCAGGAGAGGAGTGCGCAAAGCGCGAATTCTGGCTTCCATTCTGCACTGTTGAGCCTTGTCATGTCACAACACCCAACGACTGCCACTGTACCTCGCCACCTTCTGCCAAGCTCGTCCCCCATAAGTTGTGTCAAACTCAGCCCTCCTCAAAGCATAGTTTGAAGAACTCCTCCGACCATTGGCGCCGAAGGTTTTGTGCAGGGAACCAACAGACTATAGACGATTCAGGAGGGATTCGATAGGCTGAGAAACAAAAGGGCAATGCTTCTGACCCGCCCGTCAGACCCGGCTTGGCAGCCCACTCTCTCTGCCTAAATCTAGTGGCCCTCTAGGCAAAATAGCTAAGTAGAGTTCCTACAAGGTCCATCCTCTTGCGAGATTGACAATTATTGTTGGAACTTTCGTTTCGGCAGATCATGGCCCAATACTCCGAACGCAGTACTGAAAAGCTTCAGATTGACCGAAGTTGAGTCGACCGTCGTCACACCTGTGCTACTCATTTCTGCCCCGAACCCGAAGGGTAGAAGGTCTGGCACCTCGCGCCGGAGGTCCCGTCCACAACGATCTCATACTCGGAGTCTCCTAGGCCTTCGGCTTCGGGGCTCCAGGCTTTAAAGAAGTTTTCGAAGCCTTCGGACGCATCAGGACTTGGGCTCATTGAAGATGCAAAACAAGATGTGATGTGCTACCCCTTATGCACGCTCTTCAGGCTTTCAAAGTTCCATAGCTGTGAGGGTCATGCAGGTGACGGAAGAAGAGGTACAAGTAGCTCCACTGCAGAACCCTGCTCTATCTCTAACCGCCCATTTAACAGCACCAATGGCACAACAACACCGAGGAAATAGCACAAACCCGAATAGACAAGGACGCCCTGCGGCGACTGTTACGAACCGTCGTCAGCATACATTTCTCAGTCGAGTATCCGAGGAATTCAAAGGGACCTGCCCTCTTCACTTCCCGGGTGTCGCCGCTGAGGGGATCGCGCTGGAGCATCTCCTGTTCGCTGGACCCTAAACCCTAAACCGTAAGGCCCCAAACCTTCTTCGCTGGACCCGAGCTGTCAGGTTGGGCGCTAATCTGCAACGTGCCGGGCCTCGAATGAAATCTCCAAGGCTTCGGATCCCGTCCTGCAACAACGGTACTAATAATCACACTAAGAATAGCAATAAGTATAGTAGTACGAATGACAATATTCGAGAAGAAACATGAAGAAGAGTAATACGAATAAGATGAAATATAATAAGGAGGACAATACTAACCGTACTAGTAATCATACGAGTACTGGTGAGAATATATTTGCACTCAGCGGAAAAACAGGAATAACAACAATAATAATGCCCATAACAAGTACTAGCAAGAGTGGTAAGAGGAAGGCCAATAGCGATAACAGCAATAACAAAATAACAGTAGTACTTAGCACGAAAACAACGATACCAGTCATAGTAATCACAGTTAGTATTGATAATAACAATAAAAACCATAAATACAAACAACAACACTAATCATAGTATAGAAAGGTAATAGAAATGGAAACAGTACTAGCAATAGCAATCAGTAATCAGTAGTCAGAAATATTATGCTCTGGAGTGGAGATGGTGTCTATTGCTGTTTTCGGTATGTGGTTGGTTGGGTTCAGGGTGTTGGGTCTGTGGTTTGTTTGGGGTGCCTTCCCTCTGAAGTGGTTGCGTGGAAGCTCGTGGCCAAAGTGCTACCTGTCAAGTAATCAGTAACTAGTAGTAGTAATGAGTATTTAATAATAACAACAACAAAATATACGTAATAGTAATAAGTAATAAGCAATACAACAATAACGGTACTACATCCATTAGTGTTTTCGAAAATAAGAGGAACAATAATAAGACTAATCATAACCATGTATCACAGTCAGAATCATACCAGTAACACTTCAATAGTACGGATAAGGGGAAGGATAATAATAACATTAATCTTTATTCGTAATCAACAATACCAACTAATTTAAGAACAACAAGAATACTAGGATTAATACTAGTCAGACTAGTACACAACAAGAAGCAGAATGGTGGGCACGACAAACTCGTGCGGCAATCTGCAAGGACAAAGCACGAGAAAGCCAACATCAACAGGCCGAGCCTCTTTCCATTTTGGAAATGGGCTTTGGTCTCCCCGGCACGATAAGCTTGCTCGATCTGCGTGATCACGTCGCGCGGGTAGTCTCTCCAACCTCAGATCAAAAGACAGTCGGCATCAGGAAAATCTCGGCGCAGAACTTGCTCCACTGCTGCCCAAGAGGCCGGTCCGGTGGAACCACTGCCAGCTGACGCCAGGGAAGGGATCCTTTCTCCGACTCTCATGATGCAAGCTCGAGGCTAAGGAATCAGAGAAGTGTCGGATTGAAGAATTTGCGGTGCTTCAGGGCTCGGCAGCTCCAACTAACTCAGAAACCAGCTTTTCAAGCGGATATGCCGCATGGCCCGCAACAACAACTGGACCGCCCCCCCCTGAGCTACCCGTTTCTCCTGAAGCTGAGGCTGCGGCCTGATCCCCTGCCGAAGAGAGCTTTGCGAAGCGGGTTCTGTCTAATTGAACCGGCCACGGCCAGCCTTTGGCTCGGAGTCTCGTGTTCAAGACTCGCTCCAGCTCACCATCCATGATTTTCTGCCCGAGCTTCTGGAGAGCGTCGGAGTTGGAGCACTGGAGGGTTATACAAAGGGCATGCCCACCCCTCGGGGCTACTGCCTTCTCGCATTGCAACACCTCCGTGTCCACGAGTCCACGACATAAGAAGTCAAAGACATAGTCATGACCTTGGCCCATCCCGCGACATCTATGCCGGAGGTTTGCATTGGACTGCTGCTGACTTCCTGCGCGGACCACATTTGTTGTAAGCACGTGTGCCCCTGAACAAGCCTTGAACATCTAGTGAACCTAGAAGTGACACCTGCGACCTGTGCTGAGTCGAGCCCGCTGCCAGCTCAGCCAGCTGCTGAATCGAAGGCCACCCCCCCCCCCCTAATGAAGTCAGATTGACAAAACTTCGATAGTGTGCACGGCATTCTTCCGACGTCACTGCAACCGCTCGATGTTTCACTGATTCTGGAGCATCGTTGAGTCGGATCTAGCTCTCCCTTTCCAGTTCACTTTTTCCTTGCTGAAGTCTCCTTCTGTCAATGTTCACTTGAAGTTCACATTCGATGTTCAAAAACAGAGGTGCTTTAACTATATTCACTACGGAGTCACTACTACTACTACTACTACTACTACTACTACTACTACCGTCACCACGACAGGTGCTTCACTGGACGCTCAGACACAGCTGCCATTTCTCATAGCTATCCTGAGACCCTGGCCAACACTGTCCATGAGAGAAAGAATCTCGCGTCCTACATGTTGAACACGTACGGCCTTGAACTCCTGGCCTGAGTTCAGGGAACTTGCAGCCCAAGAAAACTTTTCGTCTTGAAAAGTCATCTGTCCCAGTTTGCATAGTCGCCACCAGCCAGATTCGTCCATTCCGTCTGCCAGGCAACCTTCAGGAAACGCAGTCCGCACGAGATCAACAAGATCAATTGCTTCATACTCCCAGCCCATTTCTTCCGCAATTGCAACTTGCACCTTCTGTTTCGCACTCAAACCAATTCCGTCCCAAAGGTCGGAAGTTGGAAGGTCGCACATGGCCACTTTGCCCTCTCCCACTTGTCCGGGAAGAAAAGCCACCAAAAGGCGCTGCTTCTTCGCGACGGCTTTGCGAACATTTGACTGCCATCTCTCGAACCAAGCACAGCCCCATGAAGCTGTTTTGCCACATCGCATCCATTGCAATACGGCCATCCTCTGTGCACGTTCTCTGGTTTCGTCCGTGGCATCTGAACGTACAATCACAGCTTGCGTCGCGGCCATCTCCGCGGCTCGGCCTTTCCTGGTCTCTTCGTCGTCCACCGTCCAGAGGTAGCCAAACCTTTGGTAGTCGCGTTCTCCGTATATCCGAGCGCAGTAACACTTGCCAGGGTTCTCAGGGTCCGCGAAATGCTGGCCCAGTCCTCAGCAACTCCAAGCTATATGCCGTATCAGGAGGTAAGGCCACAGCTGTACAATGCGATGAAGTTCACCCACTGACTAAACTGACTAAACCATTGCAATGCCAGTCTATTCTCACGCCGCATTGTCAAGCTCGCCTTTTCTGTGGCATGCTGAATCCAGACGACTTGACATGAATCCAACAAAGACTGACAGTCGCAGGTTGAGGACTTGTTCCAGAGCAGGCAGCGAGAAGCGAGTAACAGGAGACCATGAGTTGCTTGCGTGGCTTCGTGTGTACATCCGTTTGGGCATGCACGATTCCGGTTCTGAGGCATGGACCGCTTTCCTGATCACAGAATAAGACATCTGCCACGGATTGGTCGTGGTGCAGCTCTGTAACCGGCTTCCATGCAGCCTCGAAATGGTCAGGTATACTGATCCAGCACGCATCGGCATGAGGCCGGATGAGGCCATGAAAAGAGGTCGCGTCGTCGTGGTGTTCGACTGTGAGAGGTAGCTCCGTTGTCAGGAACAACCTTTCGCACACCTTAGGGCAGCATTGCTGCACGATCGATCCAAAACAACTACATGTAGTAAGTAACACATCACAGCCAGCAAGGAACCTGCCTAGTAAACACCAGTAGAGTGGGCAAGCGCGCTTGATATTTCATTAAACTCCCCCGGTATCCTGCTCTTGACTGTGGCTTGAGACTTCACCAGCTTTGAACCCTATACAGCCTCTCGTCCGCATGAGGAATCCTAGCAAACCTCTTTCAGCCTTTGCCAGCCTGCGTCATCGGATTGAACTGCAGGGTGGTCACCTGTGGAATTGCGTTATCACGAGTATCCCAGATATCAGTCATCTGCGCAGCCTCAGCAGCTGCTGCCTGCAACAGCCGTGCATCCGCAGCTTTGCTTGTGACAGAACTTCGGGGCTTCGGCTGCGCTGCGTCCGTTTCCGAAGGTGTGGTGTCGGGGTCTGAAAACAGCGTCACCACATGGCTGCCATCAGCCGGCATATTCGTGGCAGCAGCTTCGGCGGCTTCGGAGGCTTCGTCGTCTGCATTGCCAGTCTCGGACGCCTGGTTCTCATAAACAGCCTTTCGGACGACCTCCTGGCAATTCGGGGGCCGCGCTGCCTTGCGGTCGGAGAACCGGACCGCTCCAAGAAACTCCAGCAAACCACCTTGGACGTGCTCATTTACAACCATCGCTAGCAGCTGCGCCCTTGTAAGTGCCCTGTAGAGCTGCGAGCAGAAGTTCTGATCCCCGTCTTTCTTCAAGGGCTCGTCAAGGCCAACGCATATCACGATGAGTTGCTCTATGCCATCGGCATTTTCCAGAGAATCCAATACAATGCATTCTCGGTGCGGCTGCGATGAGCTTTTCAGGAGACGCTCAGGAAGTTGGAGCAACGACTCTGCGAAAGACACTATCTGCAAGCGACGATGACGGAGGTCTTCGTTCAGAGCCTGCTGCAAGTGCAAATAAAGCTGCCGCCGGAAGTGTTGATCCCGAACTAGGATTGCGATGCGGCCATGAAGGCTCATGTTCGGAAACATTCGGACAGCATGCCATAGGGCCGCCACAATTTGCTTCGAATACTGCGTAAACCTGTTCTTTTCCTGATCCGGCTGAAAAAGAAAAGTTTTCAGGGGTGGCCCCAAGGACTTGCCGTGAGAAGTGACGTTTTCGTTCTCATCGGAGCTGTATCGGAACATCGCCGCGGCCAGCACGATCCTCTCGGTACTGCGAACAACCTCAGACAGCTTCACACGCTTGGCAGCGGGAAAAGAGTGCAGCACGGCCGACGACTGTGCTTCGTCAGATAGAAAGAGCCGCCTCAAGGCATTCACGCGATTCAGCAAAGTCTTGTCCACGGCCTCCTGACCGAAGATCTTGTGGCTCTCGTCGTAGACGGCCAGATGGAACATCGTCTCCGCTTCCGGCCCGGGGGGCAGAATGATTCGACCTTGTTGGAGCTTCGGCAAGATCATGCTCTTGTATGGATGGTGCAGCAAGGAAAGCCTCTTCAAAGCATTCTCAAAGTTCTCGAAGTTGGAGGGCCCATCTGCATCTTCTTGGGGTGTCAGGCGCACGGCCAGCCATCGTAAGAAGAACAACAGAAGAGCCTTTGAGGGCGCCACATAGAGGACATGTGCATCTGAGGTGGGCCCACCCAGAGCCTCCAGTACTCTCTGCATCGCCACAAAAGTTTTCCCGGCCCCGGCCGGAGCGGAAAGATGGACGTCCGCCTCGCCTTCCATCTCCTCCAGCTTCTCCTGCTGATGAGCTGTGAGACCTTCCAGGCCTTGCAAGCTATCTTCGTAGAGCGTAAAGAACCGGCTCTTGTCCACGTGCACCCTGAGAGTCTGATCAGGAGCCAGCTTCTGCGTCAGCTCCCTTTCGAAGGAGCCATCTAAAACTCGATCACGCAGGGCTTGAAGAGAGCGGATGTCTTGAATGCGGAGGTCCAGGCGCAATGCCCACTGATCGACACTGCACTCCAGCAGCTCTATATTCATATCTTTCAAGCACTCCAGAGCAGACTGCGTCACGTTCTGTAAACCTGAGTCAACTCCACAGCACTTCTTCCAACTGATCTGGACTATCATTATCCGGCATTATCCCGCAAGGATTTACTCCCTGCCAGATGTTGGCATGTGGGATGAGATGTTAGGCGCTAGCCACTTTGGAGGCAGCATCGTCAATATCGAATCAACGCCTGACAACTTTCTGGATGCTGCATGTTGCATGTCCATGCACATGATTCCAGGCTCGAAGGCCAACGCATTCCAGCCCGTACCGTTGACCCCTGCCCCCACCCGCTCGAAAAAGACGATCCCTCCTCAAGACACTGAGTTCCTCGAGTCAGCCCGAACGCCCCAAACCCCCCCCCCTCCCCCCCCCAAACCCTAATCCCTACAAACCTACGCCGCAAAAGACGATCTGAGGTTCGACTTATGAGCACTTTCAGGTCCGGGTGGAGTTTGTCGCCGGGGGCCGGAAGCCGACCGCAAAGTGCAGCAATATAAATAATATAAACAACATAAGGAAGGGCCCTCATAATTAGAGTAGGGTTTTGGGGGCCGATTATACTATAATTATAATAAGGAACCCCAAAATAATAGTATGGGTAATTATTGAGGCTCCTATGTTGGTCTTGGGTAGGAGCACTCATAGTCAGGTCTCCTCCTCGAGTGCCGACGTAACTGAGGGCTGGTTGGCGACAAGATTCCTAGCGTGTCAAGTCCGTCGGTACTAGTAGGATGTTTTGAGGCCGACCGCTTGCATCAATTCCTTGGCTCCGGGCCGCACTCTTGCATCATGTCCTCCATGATCCGGCCCACGTGACGGATGTCCTTGGTTTTGAGCTTCCCACTCTCGCCCTCACAGTGTATATCGAAGACGACATCTGCAACCTCCACCATGCGCGTCACCCCATCTTCCTCCCGTGGTACTTTCCGCACCTCGATCTCCTGATGCTCCAAGATGCCTCTCTTCCAAACCTTTTCCTCCTCACACCAGCCCTCAACCACGCAGCCATCTGCGAATTCACTGTGTAGGAACTTTGCAACGCTGACTTCGTCGTAGTCCCAGCGTGGGCCTTCAGTCTCCCTCATGTGATTCACTGTGGCAATCTCAGATTTCTGCGAACCTCCGCAGCCAATCCCATCCCAAAGGTCTGCCTCAGGAAGTTGATCCATGGGTACAACTCCCTGACCCTCCTGCCCCGGGAAGAATACTGCTTTGAGACGTTGGTGTTTCGAGACTGCCTCGGTGACTCTATCGAACCACACCTCAAACCATGCGCAGCCCCAAGCTGCGATGCCGCCGTGTTCCTCCCATGTGGCCCTGGCGCGTTCCCTCGTTGCCGCCTTCACCGCCGGAGCAGCATCTTCCTTGACCCATGCGGCATTCATCGCTTCGGCTGTGGCAGTCTCCTCTTGCACCCTCTGTGAGGTGAAAGGCCTTCGCAGCTCCCGGTAGTACCCAAATTGCTTGAAGCCCCTTTTTCCATAGATCCGATGGCAGTAACACCTCTCTCCTGGCTTCTTCGGGTCCTTCACGACATCGGGTCTGAACGTGATCTTCCCGGACTCCTCGTCGATCTCATATCGAGGTCCACTGCTTTTCTCCCACTTGTGCTCTTGAGGATCCTTCAGATGCACACCGAGGCCTTGGAGGGATGCAAAGGGCTTAAGAAGGGCTTCAGTCAGAGCAACCCACATCAGCGCATGCTCACAGCGCGCCGTTCAAGCGGTGTTTCGTGTTTTGCGAACTTCGAAATGAATTGGGCTGTCAAGTCCAGCACACGCGGAAATTTTGCACAGGGGAATGGGTATGGACCCCGACAACTGAGGGAAAGGCCGTCTTCTTTCGTGCAGAGGAACACACAAGCCACCGAGTCTCCCTGGTTCTCCTCCGTCAAAGCTTTCCAAGCGGAAGCGTACTTGCCAGGGAAAGAGATCCAACAATTCTCTGCTCCCTCTCGGATGTTTCCTCGGTATGTGATGCTTCCAGAGTCCCGGCTGTCAGTGATGGCCGCTTCTTCCCGGAGCATCAAGAACAGGCTCTCCTGCCAGGAGCTTCATGCGCCAAGGCCGTCTACGTGAACAGCTCTGTCCAGCAACAAGCTACACATGTCCGAAGCCTGCGCTGCCTTGCATCCCATGATCACGGAACCCATGAGAAAAAGTTCACCGACAATGTCAACACCTGACTAAACGAATCAACGTCTGGTTGTGAGCTTTGCTCCCGAAGCCTTCCAGCTGCCAGCCGGCGAAAGAGCGGTCTGTCGTTTCTTCCAATGCCTGCCAATTACTGTGGCAGCTGCTCCAGCTCTGTCCTCCCACATTTGTCGTTCCTGCTCCGCCTCATCAGCCCTTGCAGCCGCCTGTTCTGCTTCCGTGCCTTCCGCCTTGTGGGTTTGGCAAAGGCTGTCGAGCGACAGGACTTGCGAGGCCAACAGCTCCAGTGTGGCACCATCCTTCGATGGTCCCTCCTCAACATCCTCCGCGGTGACAACTGTCTGCATCACGCCTGCGACTTCACTCTTCTGTCCGTCTTCCTCAGCACTAGCAGCTGCCTCGACCTCCTCCGCGATTTCATTCTGCTGTCGCTCGCCCTCAGCAGTGGCAGCAGCTGCCGCTGTCGAATCAGCGGCTTCACTCTGCTGCCGCTCTTCACCAGAAGTAGCAGCAGCTGCTTCTATCACCTCTGCAGATTCAGTCTTCTGTCGCTCATCGTCAGCGGTGGCAGCTCTCTGTGTAGCGTGTGCGAACTCACTCTGCTGTCTCTCTTCCTGAGCAATAGCAGCTGCCTCCATCACATCTGCGACTTCACTCTGCTGTCGCTCTTCCTCAGCAACGGCAGCAACTGCCTCTGTCGCATTTGTGGCTTCACTCTTCTGTCGCTCTTCCTCAACAGTGGCAGCTGTCTCGACAGCTTCAGCGTCAGCACCAGCAGATGCTTCGACCGCTTCCGCGAACTCACTCTGCTGTCTCTCTTCCTGAGCAATAGCAGCTGCCTCTATCACATCTGCGACTTCACTCTGCGGTCGCTCTTCCTCAGCAATGGCAGCAACTGTCTCTGTTGCATCTGCGGCTTCACTCTTCTGTCGCTCTTCCTCAGCATTGGCAACTGCTTCGACCTCCTCCGCGACTTCATGCTGCCCTTCAGCGGCTTCACTTTTCTGTCGATCTTCCTCAGCAGTGACAGCTGCTTCGACCGCTTCCGCGACTTCATTCTGCTGTCGCTCGTCCTCAGCAGTGGCACCAACTGCCTCTGTCGCATCTGCGGCTTCACTCTTCTGCCGCTCTTCCTCAACGCTAGCAGCTACCTCTGTCGAATCTGCGGCTTCACTCTGCTGCCGCTCTTCACCAGAAACAGCAGCAGCTGCTTCTATCACCTCTGCAGATTCAGTCTTCTGTCGTTCATCGTTAGCGGTGGCAGCTCTCTGTGTAGCGTGTGCGAACTCACTCTGCTGTCTCTCTTCCTGAGCAATAGCAGCTGCCTCTATCACATCTGCGACTTCACTTTGCTGTCGCTCTTCCTCAGCAACGGCAGCAACTGCCTCTGTTGCATTTGTGGCGTCACTCTTCTGTCGCTCTTCCTCAACAGTGGCAGCTGTCTCGACAGCGACTTCACTCTGCTGTAGCTCTTCCTCAACAATAGCGGCTGCCTCTATCACATCTGCGACTTCACTCTGCTTTCGCTCTTCCTCAGCAGTAGCAGCAGCTGCCTCTGCTTTGTCGTTGGTTTCGCCTTCCCTCTGCCCGTGCACAGTCCTGGCTGCTGGAGCCGCCTCTGCAATTTCCGATATCTTATCGTGTTCGTCGCTGAATGGGGACACATGTGCAGCTGATGCAGCCTCTGCCGCTTCCTGGCTGTGGTCTTCCTCAACCAGGGCGGCGTCCGCGAAATTTGTTGCAACCTCGAGGGTAAGTCATCTGATACTCTAGCATGAAGCAGGCAAATCTTGCTTGACTGCTCTGGTGCATGTCGGGCAGAGCATATCGGGTGACCGCATTAGGTCTGTAGCACTAGCTCCTGTCAGCGGAAGCACAAATCGTACATGTCTATGAACCACCTCGGCACCAACTGCCTACCTAGCATAGGAAGGGAGGGAGGGCGTTTAGCAGCGGCCTGAAGTTCTCCGTGTAGAGCACATGGCGGAACCTCTTGGTCGATTGCCTGCTGTAGTTCCTCCACTGTTGTCATATCACCTGCAAAAAATACTAGGCAGAGTCAGGTGAGAGCCCCTATGCACAGGAAGGCCTGCCTGATTGAGCGGCATAGTGTAGTGCAGATCGCCCGAAAACATCCACCTGCTGCTATGCACGGCTCTCTCTTACTTCCATGCTTCCATGCATACCACCACATGCTGAGTTCCTTGACCAGACTTCCGTGCAGCTTCCAAGATGCCACGCCTCGCTGGCGCGGCATTTCGCCTCTAGCAACATCCTCAGAATCTCCATCTTTGCTTCGGAACTGTTGTTGCCCACAGCATAGAAAAGCGGATTGCGGCTCTGCGCGTCCTGGCGACACTCGGCTTGGCATGCCCCCAAAAAACAAACTCTCTGTCGGTGCTGTTGGCGGTCATGCTACTGCTACTTGAAGTCATGCTGCAAGCTTGCGGTTCGCCTTTCTGTACTGGGCACCTTGCACTGCACGAAACAACAGTTGCAGAATGAAGACGTCTACTTACCGCAAATTCCATAAGTCCAGGAGCGGAAGGCAAACAAATCCTCTCACACTCCGAGCTAACCCTAAGTCTCAAGATTTCAACACCCCAGATATCCCCAGATGCATTTCGAGCTTACATCTTCCTTGAGGAAGGCTAGGTCTGGATTCTGCTGCAAGAAGTCGTGAACAATCTCCGGGCTGTTGCAGCATGCCTTGGCAAAGCACTCTTAAACAGTCTTACCGGTATAATTATTCGTACTGATGACCTTTTAAAACGGGGATGCTATTTTTCGACCCCAAAACTTATTTTTTTGACCCCGAGTGTTTTCTTGACCCCCGAGGTTAGGGGTCGGAAAACGTGCCGGGAGGGGGCGGGAGGGGGCACAAAGACAATATGAGAGGCGGGAAAAATTACATTGTCGGCAGGACCACACCGGGGGGCCAAAAACCAACCTTAGGGAGGATTGGGGGTCGAAAAAGTAACCATGGCGGCCGAAAAATTGGGAGCCCTCCGTGGAATCCCTGTCGCGTCCAGGATGCGAAGTGGAAAGCACTCCTAAGCTGCATCTCAGCACGTGTAAATAAGCTAAGGTGTGCATCTTCAGCAGGACCCACAGGACTGAACAGTCTTATAAATTTTATGGTTTAGGGTTTAACAGTCTTATAAAAGAAGTCCAAGTGGCTGTCCCCCGTGATCTATCTGCTCCGGGCGAGCGCGGCTCTTCAGAAGCAGGCGCACCACTGCGCCGTGGCGCCACAAGCAGGCCAAAGCGAGAGCTGCAATGCCAGCTCCTACCATGGGAGTGACTAAGTGGGCAAACCCCAAGCCTAAACCCGAACCGGAAACCCCGAACCATATCTTAACTTTGCAAAGTACCTATGCAGCCTTGGCCTATTCATGCCAAGCCGCCGGCTGGGGCGTGAATATCAGCTCGCCTCTTCAGCAGCACAGAGCAGACCTGCGAGGATAGAACGCTTGCATCTTCTTATGTGCATGGGACTGACATTCAGATTCTCACAATTTTTGCTCTTTTGTATCCTACAATGCATGCATACATGTAGATATGCAGGCATGCCTGTTTTTGGGTTGGTGGAAGCGAACGCAAGACAATCACGGCAATTCTAACTCTGCACTGTCTTGCGGTGCTGCCCTTGTCAACCCGAAAACATACGCAAACAACCACCAAAACCGCCAAGCCCCTTTCGAAATCATGTAGACCTCCATAAGTCGGCTCCCGAGCCCGAGAACGACACAAGAATCGAACCTGTGTAAATCGCACGTAGCAGCCTTCACTATCGATCGCTCTTCAACAGACAGACACATACACAATGCAAGTCTATGTATTGTCCGATTTGCGAGCTGGCCCTAGACAGCTGTCCTGCAGATCGCAGTCTGGAGTGAGGCCCCTGGCTGTTGACGCTGGCTGTGACCCATGAATTCCCTGTATCCGTAGAGATCCAAGACCGAGAACACCTCTATGGTTTTTTCCCACCCGCCCAAGGGTTTAGGGCTTATAAGGGTATAGGGTATACCAGCACCCCCCAACTACCCTCTTATACCCTAAATACCCACTATTAAGGGCCATAAGGGCTCTATTAAAGGGTACTTGGGGGGTGCTGGTAGGCCTACACCCTACCGGCCTCAGCGTGGCCGTGCCTCGCGGCACAGTGGAGAGGGGTGCGGCCACGCTCATCGCGGAGCTCCAGCAGCTCCCGGAGGTCTTCCTAAGGCTCTATGCTCGCCTTCCTTTTCGATTTTTTTTGGGGGAAGGGGCGGGGGCTAGAGTTTGGTTAAGGATGTAGTATGCAGGTTTAGGTTTTTTGGGGGGTTCTTTAGAATGCTGGGTTGATGGATTAGGCTTCTTCGAGGAGAGGTTCAGGGTTTTAGGGTTACGCAGAAACGAGCAGGGGACGAGGCCGAGGAATAAGAAAGAGAAAGTACAGGGAGTCTGGGTGGGCATTCGTGAATTAATGCTCCCTGCAAAGGGCCGATTCGAACAGCAGGCTAAAGAAACAGCGGGAGGGATCCTGTCTCCCAGCAGCGAACACCATTTGGGACCTGATGGTAACGTAAGCAAAAGCCCGGACTAGTCATTCGCATTGCAAAGAAGCATCTGAGGAGGTTGAAAGGATGTTTTCCACCTGCGCGCTGTCACCTCTTCAGGTAGGGGCACTACAGCGCTGTCATTCAACGATGCCGGGTGCAGCATAGCTGATGGAACTAGCACAGGCTGAGTTTCAGGCAACCGTCTTTTTGGAAGAGCGATAGCGGGCACAAGCGGTAAGTACGAAACGAATGATGCTCTGTGTCGCCGCAATCCAAGCGATTCGAGCGCCTTGTGTGACAGCGGCGAGCAAAGGTGCTTGCAAAGCCATGGCTGCCTGGCATTGTGGCTTCTGGTTCTCGTGTGCCTCCCGCCCGGTTAGGGCGAAGCCCGCATTGCACGGTTGGTTGGTAGGACGGGAGACATGGCTCTGCAGCATGATAAAAGACTGACTGACTCTGAGTTGGCATGCGACAAACTCCGGGCTGACATACATTCAATCATGGTCTTACTCACTCCAGCAATTTGAGTTTAGAGTTTGGGTTTGGCGCCTATCTAAGCATGAGCAAGGACATCCTGCTGGGATCCGGCCCTTTTCGAAGCAACAGAAGCATAAAGGCGTAACTGGGTGGCAAGCCACGTCTTGCTTGATGGTGCTGCAATCGCTCTTGTAGAAGGGTCCTGGCGGAAATTGAACAGGTCGACTTGAGGAAACTAAAGTCTTGCATAAACAACCCAAGCGGATTGGAATATCTGCGTCTCAGTCCTGCATCCGAAGCCCAGGAGCCGAAGCCCACGGTGGGTGAACGTGCAGAGGGAGCTGCGGGCTTTGTGCAAATGCCCTGGTACCGGAGATCATCACCATCTCGCGGCCCACATCCGCCGGACAGGCTCAGATGTCCCTGCCTACGGGTGAGCTCTCCCATGTTGAAACTCGCCCGCCACGGGCCCTGGGGCAAAGCCTCTGGTGAAGTCCCTTCTGTAGGGCTCAGGGATCTTGGTGGCGATGTGTACCACCTGCGGACGAAATCAGGGCAAAGCTTCGGGTGTATTGTGCCAGTACTGCCACATCACCACCCGTTCACCACCCCCACCACTGCAAACTAAGCGGTGCGCATGGTCCACCAGTGGCGGAAACTCATCATTTTAGGATGGTGAAACATGAGGAGATCATTCAGGGCTTGAAGACGCTCAACTTGACGACATACGCAGGCAATGACAATGAGTTATGGAGTTATGGAGAAAAGCTTAGAGTGGGACGGGATGGGATGGGACACTTGCGTTGTTCCCAACATCGGGGTATCCCTTTCAAAGAAGGAGGTCGAAAAGAGCACCGCTCTAGAACAACCCTCATGATCAATTCGGCAATCAGCTCCCGAAGGTTGACTCAACTTTCACATCGGGTCTTCCTCCAGGTTTGAGCGCTTGGGGTTGCCCAGTAGTTTGTGGGATGTACCTTCACTTCAATGATTCGGTGTTCGGCTTCAATAACTGAACTTCCAAGATTGAATTTGATCGCCGGGATTTCGTGCCTAGCTGGCCTAGCTACTGTACCTACAGGTTGTGCTGTAATCGTTGCAACCATGGATGAAGCAATGCGCCGCAGTAGCAGTGCACATCAGCCAGCCTTCTCTCTGGCCCTTCGGCGCGGCGCTGACGCACCAAGCCCACGGGGGTCAGGCGCTTGTCGCTTTCGGGGCCTGGGCAAGCGGCCCCTGTCGCTGGCAGTCTCCCCGCTTCCTGGCCGCAGAATGCAAAGGCAGCAGATGCTGTGGGATGCTAGTTGTCCTAATCCTAGTTTGCCACACGACACTCAAGCAGCTACGAAGCAAAACTCCCGTTTCTACAGCCATGACCGATATGGATCGATGTGAGTCTAGGTAGGCCCTATAAGTGTCCAAAGTCTGACTCCGCACCTCACCAAAATGTCGGAACTTCTCGAAGGCGCTCCTGGCAACGGAGACGTCTTCTGTCAACTCATGGCTACAAAAGTTCTGAGTTTGCGGAGCTCTAGGGCTACCGGGGTTCAGAGCGTTCTGAGCTCAGCAGCTACAAGAGGAGCGGAGCTTCGATTTGCACACACCTAGTTACGCCCACAATGCTCATCAACCCGAATATAGAAGTCGGAATCAATAGAATGGGGTTGTCGGAGGTATTCCATACCCCAACTATGTTCTCCGGGCCTGGCGTCGCTTGATGAACTGCCGCCCGACAATGCAAAGTCCAAGCCGGATCCCTGGCTGGGACTCGACAGTCGAGGAGTTTAAGGTTTAGAGTTTCAGGGTTGAGGGTTTAGAGTTTCAAACTTGGTTGGAAGTTGTACAATCGCCACATGAAGAACAGAACTAGACCTAGCCTCTTGCTTCGTCATCTTCTTCTGCTTATGATTCTGAGTATGGCAACGGCTAAGATGTTGCTTACGAACATGATAATGGTGCATACCATTCTATAATACATAGGAATAATGTGGTTATCATAAGCATCGTTCGCACATGTATACACGCTTGCATATGTATATACATAAAGGCATATGCATGCTTGTTGCATATCCACACACACGGCTGCATTCATGTGAGGGATGGGATGACGCGAGCGGTTGCCCTCCAAACACCCAAGCTGCCAAGAAAATGCAGCACTTCTCAACCCGAGCTAAGGAATGCCACAAGTCTGGTAATGCTACGAACTTGGTACCCCCCAAGCTTAAAACCAGCCCCACAGTTCTCCAGCAGTAATCTTATCCTCTACCCCTTGAGTCGAAACGGATAAGCTTTTGCCTGAGGAAAGTCATAGTCCCTTCGGGCTTCGCCGAACCATTGGTTTCCACCCACCGGCGGCGCGTGCTGTCCTGGGAGTATTTCGCAGTGTGACCCGTAACTCCAACTCCAACCTTTGAAGCTAAGGCTTTCCCCGGCTTCAAAGTCGGAGGGAGGATTCGAACCGAACTGACACTGAAGAGAAGCTTACAGCGGGTAGACGACTTGCCCCCCCAGCACGTCGACTCCCGAAACCCTACACGAACCGGGAATAGTTTAGCCTTTGCATCCACATATATCACTGTCTGTCTCTGTCTGCCTGCGTCCATGTCTACATATAAGCACGGAGAGACGGAGAGAGAGAGAGAGAGAGAGAGAGAGAGATAGGGAGTGATTCCTTGTATTCCGACAGAACTCACTGACGTTAACCATGAACCTGCTCCCTTAACCCCAAGCCCCTAAACACCCAAAACGCTAGTCGGATGCAATGTGGACAACAGTCTTGGGTAGAATCAAGAAATGGAACGGTGGACTTTAAACCCGGTGTTTGCATCCGACGATCTCCGAGGTTATGCCGGGAAGTGCCGGAAGACATGAATATCTTTATACTGCATTACTGTATCACATTAACATGTCATATCATATTACTATCTCACGCTACATTAAAGCAAACACAAGCCGCCTCCCTACCCCACATCATCCCACATCTCCCCTGCATGCGGAGTGCCTTCGGCAACGGTGCTCAGCCGTAATCTGCGCTCTGCAGAGACGAGGTCCGGGCACTGGCTGGGCGGCAAGCGTCCTGGCTTAGGTTCGGGACATCATATAGGGGCATCAATACTCAGATTAGGGCTTTGGGATACACACTTATAAACTACAAGGGGACTTGTGGAAGGATTACAAGGGGACTTTACGGGGATGCGATTACAATAAGTCTTGATCTTTATAGTGGGATACTGCGCATGAGCTGATTGCAGCCCTTTGTAAAGCTTACACCCTTCTGCAGCTTTCGCTTCGCTGAGTCCTGTCGCAGAGCCCAAGGTGGGCTGTTGCTCCAAGAATTCCTTGGTCCATGTTTCTGAAGGAAAAAGAACCATTGACCCTAAGACCCAAAACCCAACTCCCGACCCCCCCCAACAAAAAAAAAACAAAAACTTCGAGGTCCCTTCCAGTTGCCAGCCTAAAAATCCCAGACCCTAGAAACCACCTCTTTTTGAGCAGAGACTGCAATGCAAAAAGCTGCAACGGCCTTGTCTGATCCTGGACCGGACTGATAGCCCACAGCAATGCAAAAAGCCCTAAACCTAAACCCTAAACCCTAAACCCTAAACCCCTAAACCCCGAAACCCCAAACCCCTAAACCCTAAACCCCTAAACCCTAAACCCTAAACCCTGAACCACTCCCCGGGAAGCCCAGATTCGGTGAAGTCTTTGAGAAACTTCCAGGTCTCCCATCGGCGAAGTGCCCGGACCGATTCCGCGGGCTCCTGGGACTCCAGAAAACTTTCACGGCTTCGATGTAGGTTTAAAGCTTAGGCGTTTAGGGGTTCAGGCTTTTGGGTTGGGGGTTTAGGGATTGGGCAAAAAGATTTAGGAGTAGTAGTAGTAGTAGTAGTAGTAGTAGTAGTAGTAGCAGCAGCTGTTTTGTTGTTCCCCCCCCCCTGCGGGACGAACCTACGATGCAGGGTACACGAGTTGATCAACGATACAAGTTGCTCCGAGCTCCCATTCTATGGATGGATGTGCGGGAAATGACCACCGCAGCCCTCCCGGTTACAGGGTGTTAGGGTACAGCAAAGCCTTCCGCCCCTATGGGGCATCGGCACACGGGGGATTGGGCTTAGGGTTTCGGGCCCTGATGTTACGGTTACTTACCTTCTGCCCCGATTTCAACCTTCAACCCCTTATAAATCCATGGGCCTCAAGAAAACCTGGACCTGGACCTGAAGATCCTTCAAAGTCTACAGGTCCAGGGCCCAAATGGGGGTTTCCGAAAATCGGGGACCCCAATATACTACCCCTAAATCATCGGATCCCCATGATAAGGATCCCTAAACCCTAAACCCTAAACCCAAAATAAGGTACCCCTAATTTTCGGAAAGCCCCAAATGGAGCCTCTGACAGCTCCAGATCGGTGACGGGCGGAGTAGGACCCCCGAGCCGCTGCGTCCTGCTGGGTTCGGGTTACCCATAGGCCCCATAGTAGTTCCTTTTTGGGGGTTACCTTATAGGATTCTATATTCTGAACCCCAAAAAAAGGACTACTTGAGGGCCTATGGGTAGAGGCCTCAAAACTCTGTGGTTTTGGGGTTTCGGAGCTCAGGCTGGGACAATCCAGGCGGTTTTGGGTTTAGGCTCTCACAACTCGAACTGGCCAGGCAACCATCCATAGGTGACAGTCGGCGTGACACGTTTAGGGTTTAGGGTTATGCAAAAACAGAAGAGACTAACAAGCCAAAAGAAGGGTTTAGAGTTCAGTGTTGAGGGCCTTCTTAATTTTGGGACTTGGGGTTAAGGCCTGGAGGGTTTGGGTTCGACTTTCCATGCACGTCTTCGCGCAGAACCAAAACTGAGCTGGCCGCCTCCTGTCTGGCGGCGAAGCTCCCGGCTGTCTCACGAAGCCCACGGAGCTCTGGCACATCTCGTTTTCAGTGCCCAGCTGCAGGAGGGCCTGGTCGTGGGATTTCCTGATGAGTGTGTTGCTGTTTGAGTTTGGCATTGGTGTATATCCACTAGAGCTGATGTCGGTATCTCAGTTTTCTGTCTTGAGCTCTTTCTTTCTCGCTGCCCACTCATTACCCACGAAAATAAGTCCAGAGCCTCTGCTCTGATACTGCGAAACCCTTCAGGATCTAGACGGAAGACGGAGATACTCACACTGCGCTGCCTACGCCTACATGCCCCCAAATGGAACCCAAGTGGCAAGCCCCAGAAACCAAGAACTCTTCACGGAGGGAAAAGCAGCACTCATGCTAATGCCATGTGCATTCGGCTGTCCCGAGCACGCTTAGCTGCGCAACGCCATGTCCAGTGGATGGCCTCGTTCAATCGAGCGTTGTCTGCTCGTAGTTGCGCCACTTCTTCCTCGCGGACCCGAGCTTTGCAGTGCTCTCTCCAAAAGTTTTCGCTCAGCTCTAATAATGTAGGGCCTAAATAACTACAATACTACTTTGGGGGGTTCCTTATCATATATATATATATATATAGAGAGAGAGAGAGTATAATGGGCCCCAAAACCCTCTTCTAATTATTAAGGCCCCTACATCATCTGTGTCTGAGAGGAACTTCGAAGTCAAGGAGGACAAAAACCCAAATGCAACAGCTCCCAGCTCTGACTCCTCCAGCTGAGCAAGCCGATGGTGTACGCTAGCATCCTGGTGGAAGGGTGGCCGTAATATTGCGTTCTGTTATACTTGTATATTTGTATGTGTGTATATGATTGTGCATATATATATATATATAGAGAGAGAGAGAGAGCCATATTATAACATATTATGTTATAGCAAACATTCTGTTATGCTAGCTGCTATATTTCGTTTTATCAGAATAAATTACGTCAAGTAGTCGGCAAACAAACCGTGCAGGCTGCACTCACTGAAGTGGTCGCAGGGCGCATGTACCGTGACAGGCAAAGGCGGACGCCTCCACTCACAACCCGGACCAATCCATCTCACCCCCTGCAACAGAATTCCCCTAAACTTCTGCAAAACTTTCCTGGCCTCCGCGGAAGCTGAAGTGCTCACTGCAAGAGCCGGACGGCTCGGCCTCTAAAACTTCGTCTGGGACGTGGGCTTCGGGGGCTCTATGATTCCGGCTCTAGGCTTTAGATGGGTTTGGGATTCAAACAAAGTTGTTTTCCCTTCTCCCGGGATTTAGGGTTTTGACACTCACAGGGTTTAGGGTAGGGCTGCAGGATTCCTACTATAGGTTTCTCGCGGGGTTTCGATTTTAGGCTTGGGCTTTTCGGATCCTTGGCGCTCAGGCCGCACAGTGGCAATCCAAGCCTTCGTTCACCCCTCAACGGTTTTCTAGTTTAGTGGTAGGTAGGAGTTTAGGGCTTGGTTTTCGGGAACACCCCTCACTGGGTTTTCCACGAAAGTTACAGCGGAATCTCCTATGCGAGAACCGGATTGCTACTGACTGCTGCGATGTCCCTCCCCCTACCCTTCGAAGCCCTTGGCCCCTCAGAACCCCTTTTGAGGATTAGGGCTTTAGGATCCTTGTAGTTAGTCTTCTTGAGTTTCTACCCCTAGGCCCACAGCTTCAACCCTAAACCCTAAACCCCGGAACCTTCAGGAGGCAAAAAAAAACCCGGAACCTTCAACCCCCCCTCCGCCCACACCGTTTGCGCCTTCCCCAAACCCTAAACCCTAAGGCCCCCAAAACATGAACCTAAACCACCACCCCTTAACCCTCAAACCCAAAACCCTCAGGCCCTGTACCCTGCAGGGCCTCCAACCCTCAAACCCTAAACCGCCCCCCTCGAAGTGCATCAATCAAGCCATTCTTTGGGTTCCACAGGCCAGTCCAACCCATGTGCAACGCTGTGCTTCTGGTTATAGACTTTGCTTAAGCTACCATACTTTTAGGCTTCCCTTTAAGGGTTCGATAAGGGCTTCTTTAGTTCAGGAACTTGAAGTTTAAGTTGCCATAGCAAGGAAACCTCTGATTTACTATTACAGATACTCGTCTTGTGCTTGATTTGTTAAAAGGAAACCCGATGATTTACTATAGATCCAAATTACGGCGTGTAAGTTGCCATAAGCCTCAGATAAGCGTCTCCAGGACGCAAACCCCAACAAAGCGCTGCGACCGGCACGAGTTCGCCGCCCAGCTCTGGGAAACTGCGGCGACCCTGAACTCGAAACTGAATGTCTATATTTTAGCATCTAATACAGAAATTCCATCATATATGGTATAGGATATCTAAAGTACATACTTTCATAATCCAAAACCAAGAAAACAACCTCGAGTCTTGGAAAAGCCAAGCGCGAGCCTCATGTCTCAGCAGGTCGGCCAGCAAAAAGAAAAACGTCGGCTTGGACTCCTGGGTTTCCAAGAGCTATCTAGGGTTTAGGGTTCAGGGACCCATCACAGTTCGGGTTTTGGGGGGTTTAAAAGGTACCAGAGTTCCGTAATAAACCCAACCCTAAACCCTAAACCCTAAAACCCTAAACCCTAAACCCACAAACCTTGGGCTGGCTGGCGGTCCTCGGCGCTGGCGGCTTCGCCGGCCAGGCTCCGAAGCCATGAGAAGGCTGCGAACAAAGGCAGTAGGGTACAGGGCTGTAAGGTTTGTTTAGGGTTTAGGGTTTTTAGGATTTTTAGGGTTTAGGGTTTTAGGTTTTAGTTATGGCTGCTCCCAAGGCTCTTGTGGGGGCTCTGGGATTCTGGTTTTGGGATGGCAGGGTTGTAAGGGCCTCATCGCCATCATCCTGCACATAATGTGGGGGCCTGATTACCGATGCCATGTTGGGGGTTCCTTATTAATTAAAATTATGGTATAATAGGCCGCAAAACCGTCTAATCATTCAGACCCCCATGTTACTTGAACTCGTATCACTCATCATCAGTCTCTTTTTCATCAGCAGCGCCATCATCACCGTCATCCTCATCCGCGTCCTTCTCCTCATTTCCGGCATGAGCATGATCAATCACTATACCGGCATCCGCATCATTAGCATCACCGCCGTCATCATGACCAACACGACAGGCAGCACCCGTGGAGTTGCATCTGGCCGAAACATTGACGTGGGCTTGCCCTAGGCCTTTGGATATAGACGAATACAGAACGGAGCGTGCAACACGAATTTTGCGCAAAACGAACCCAAAAAAACCCGAAAAGTTCGCCCTCCATACTCCTTTTTGGTTTGATGCAGGTACCTTCGAGAGCGGGGCCGATTCGTTTCGGGAGTGGGCAGGTGTCAAAGGGTAGCGCCTGTGCCTCTGACCGGGAGGCTTGGGTACTGCCCCCATACAGTAACAGTCTATAATAGGGCTACTATTAAGGGCCTAATGTATCCATACTATAAATATTATCCAACTGTTACTGAGTGGGGGCAGTACCCAACGGGAGGCGTTGTTCAAGAATTCGAGAAACGCGGACAACTTGTTCGGCAAAGCGGCTCTTGAAAGTGACTGCTGCACCACTCTTTGCTTTTGCATACCATCCATGACGCGGATACCCTAAGTTTCTCATCACCATTCCACACGTCTGAAACAGCAAGGGTGCCAGCCTCAGACAATCCAATGCAGAGGGGCCTGCGTTGATGTTACACCAACGTACCATATAAATATTTGTATATATTATATTCTAATTCTAACTAACACCAGGATCTTACATGATTCATCAACCCTAACAACGAAGCTCCGAGGTTGAGATAGCGGTACATAGCACGTCCGAGCCCGACCCGCCTTGTCAGATGATGAGAATGTCGCCCGGGCTAGTGGCCAAGGTATGTCTGAGCCATGTAAAACAGATCGGCTTATTTTTGTTGTGTATACGGCCTAGAGTCTAGTCGAGAACACGTGACAGACAATAAGATGGCGAGCCAAATGTCCGATACTCTCGTTTAGGATGTAATCCCCAAACCATACTGAAATAAATGAGGTGACTTTCTGTGGCTAAGGCAGCCTAATCAGAGGTGATGTGGCATTCTTCAGCTCAAAGCTTAAGGGACGAAGGCAGAGTGTTGCGAGTGTTGCTACCAGCAATGCTACCGCCAAGTGCTGTTCTTGCGACCATTGTGATGGCATGCTGTACCGATGCCTTGTGACGATGAACACGAGTATTGTTGCTTCTGCTTCCTGCTATTTTGCCTCGATCTACCGGCAAGCAAGCAAGGAAGGGCCAATGTACATCTGCGCGGTAATTACTGGTTGCATGCTTTCCAAGTCAACAAGTTCGTGGGTCGGATGATGACTGGGTGGTAAATCTGGTGAGCTGATAGGTCTTCGGAGATCCTTGCAAAGCAATTCTCAATTTGAACATGTCTGCTATGAGCCTCGGCCCTCGAAAAGGAGCCACACGGGCGGTGGTGCAGGCATCGTCTAAGTGTAAAGGAAACGTCATAAGCACAAGGTCTCGAGCTGTAAGAACCGGAGGACTTGCAAGAAGTTGCGCTTGAGGGTTCGGGCCCTGAGGCATTGGGGTCTTGTGCAAATGCTCGAGGCTTGAGAATTGACTGGGTTTGCAGCAGCACACGGAGCGGTCACAGAAATTCAGACAGCTACAACAGCGATCTGCTTGTTCTTTGTGTGCAGTGTGCGCTTCTGGTCCACTGGCCAAGGCTGCTTCGCAGCCAATGGCCCAACCTTCCACGAGTTGTTGAACCTTCGGGGTCCTTTTCCTTTTGACGGGTGCGGGGGGTGTCCTTGTATTGGGGATCCTAGCATTTTTCGTGCTTTACCAAGGGTTCCTTGTTCTTTGGAAGTCTCGCAACAACTCTAGTCTCTCTAAAAATTGACACTCAGGGATCGGCGACTGAGTCTAGGGTTTCGGGTTTAGGGAGCATCTTCTGAAGGCGGTGGGGCTTCCTGCTTGCTTTGATCTTTCTCAGCCTCTGCTGCCTCTGCCATGGCGGGCTGGTTTTGCGCTTCTTGCCTCCTCGGAGCCTCAAGCTTGCCTGGCTCTTCCTCCTTGACAGGACTCTCCGCTTCGGTGGCTTCCTCCTTTGCAACCAAGCCCTCTTCTTCAACCGTGGCAACATCGGCAACAAGTTGGACGGGACACTCTGTGCCGTCCTTCCGTTCCTCGTCTTGCTTCTCAACGTCCTCCTTCGGAGGCTCCCCAGGTGCTGGCAAGAGTGGCTCGTCTGGCGGCAGTGATGGTGGAGGCAGAGGCGGTTCTGCTTCCTCTGGATCTTCCTTAGCGAGACCGTCTGCCTCGCGGTTGAGTTGCTCTTCCTGTGCAGCCGGAGCTACTGCATTTTCGAGCCGCAGGTTGTTAATCTGTGTAACAAGGTCAGCAGCGATTCCAGCTATGGTCTCAAGTCTCTCTGCCGGACTGCGGGCAGCCTCGCGAGCTTCTGCCTCAGCAGCCATGACATCAGCCGCCTCCTTGGAAAGTTCGCAGTCTTTAGCTCGGTCCTCGGCCATCCTGACAACCGGCAGTACGGCCAAGGCGGCTTTGAACTTTTGTCGCTCTCCCAGGGCCCTTGCAGCAGCTTTCGCGGCTTCTTCAGCTTTCTGCGCTTTCTTCGCCTCTGCTCCAGTTGCCTGGGCCCTCGCAAACTTTGCCGCTTCCCGCTTGTGTCGAGCCTCCTCAGCCCTTGCAGCAGCCCTGCCGGCCTCCGCAACTTCCTGGACTCTCCTCACTTCAGCGACTTCAGCTTCTTTTTCAAAGGCCTTGGTTTTTCCTTCAGCCACTTCACGTGACTTCCGCTCTTCCTCAGCCATCGCGGCCCTGGCGACCTGGGTGACTTCCCATTTCATTCGCTCTGCCTGAACCTTCGCAGCGGCTTTTTGAGCCTCTTCGGCTTCCCTCGCCTTGGAAGAGATTCTTCTTCTGGCTGTTCTTCTTGCCAGTGTTGTGAATGCTAGAAACCTTACTATATAGACGATTACCATTACGATGACTATTAGGATTATGACTACTATTGCTATCGCGCTTGCTCTTGCCCTTACTGTTACTACTACAGTACGATTGATATTCCTATGACAGCAAATGTTCGAGTCTAAGTCTGGGGGTCAGGCGCTTTCGTTTGTGCTCTTCTTACAGGTGGCTTTTGCAGGCAACATCCCTCTGTAAGAAGGTTTTGGGGTAGGGCTTATAGGTTTTGCTGAGAAGCCAAGTGCGTAAGTCATAAGCCATCAGAACTGCCAGTTCTAGGGCTCGCAAAAACCTCAGCTGACCTTTTTCGAGGTTCGCCGGGGGTGACCTACGGGACCCCAACTCCGCCGAAATCCTCAAAGCTCCGCATCTCTCTCCACAGCGAATGCATCCGAGAATTTGATGCCCCGGCCTGACGCCCCTACAACAACACACCGGCCACAGGGCCCCCCCCCCCCGCCCTTCTCAAAGGCACGGTTTTGACCGAAGCTCCTCACAAAAGCCCTTCGGAATCCTTCCCTCACCCCCCAACTCTCGTAAGCAGGACTCTTAAATCATGCTTCGGAACCCTTCGGCTGCAGGTTTGCAACCAAGAACACCTGTTTTTGCTCCAAACCAAACCCCGGAAGCCCGGTGTAATCTGTTACCTGCTGAGCTCTGCACGGCTGCGCTGCTTCTTTTCCTGAGAAGGTCGGAGGCCGCCTGGCTCGAACCCCAGGTTGCATTTAGAGCTTTTTTTGCGTTTTAGGGTGTACCTAGACCCTAAAGAACCTACCTTTTGAATTACTTATCATATAAGGAAATCAGAATAAGGAGCTCTGAAAAGGTAGCTTCTTTAGGGTCCAGGAGGGGGTTAGGGATTTTGGGTTCTGGGTCCAATTGGAAGTGATACTGGCGATCTGCGAACCAAGAGTTTGCGCACATCCCAAAAGCCTAGTCAAGACATGCATGATTGAGCGAGTCTGGTATGGCATGGCATGGCATGGCAGGGTAGAGTAGGTGGTTGGTATGTAGCGTATGTATTGTAATGTGAGTATTGTAGGAATAGCTGTCAGTATTGTATTGTAACTATTTATTACGCAGTCTTGTGTTGTATTGTAACGTATGTACGTAAGGTATGTCCAGTACTGTACATATTGTAAGTATTGCGTGTTGTTGTGTTGTATGGTGTTGCATGGTATCGTACCGCACCGTACCGTATCGTATGCACGCATACCTGCATGCACTTGTTCATCCGCACATAAGGGAGTTTCGGGACAACATGCGACGCTTGCATGGAACACAAAAACAGCAGCATCCTTAAACAAATCCCGCAACACCATTAGCAAACCCTGAAGCCCCAAAGCCAAACACCTAAACCGTTAGGAGGGGCTGCAATACGGTCAGCCCTACAATTATCATGTCGTTAGGAAACCCAAAGCTCCAAGCCCTAAACATTAAGATAACCATGGCAAAGAACCCTAAAGTCCTAAAGCCCCGACCGGGCCTGCAAGCCATTTGCATGCTCAGGAAGACACTCCTCATCGACAGCCTGCTGCAGTAGCGCGACCACTTTCATGTGACCTGGCGTAGGGCCAGGCAAGCTGTTCTTGTTTCAACATACAAGTGCCTGGGTATAAATCGTTAAGCAAATACATGCAATGGAGTGTGTGCGCTGCGTCTGAATGTCTACATACATATATACATATACATACAGATCTATATACCCATCCATCTACCTACGTATGTATCTGTCTATCTATATCTGTATAGATTTGTACATATGTAACCCTAAGTGTAGACATTGTACCGACTTGCACAGATGATGGGTTCAAAACGTTTCGAGTGGCAGTTGGGTTTTGCGATGCCTGCCGGCTCCTGGTTTCGGGGCTTCGCGCTGCGGCCGACAGGGGCCCACAGCCGCCAGGGTTTCAGGGTTTAGGCTTCAGGGATCAGGGTTTAGGGCTCCTGGATAACTATAGCAGAACCGACATTTGTGGTCTGTAGTAGTATATGACTCTACATATGATTATGGTACATTACCATATGACACAATGCAACCCAACATCCTGCTGATGCTACTTTGCATATTTGTGATATTGTACTATATTCACTTTCACATTCATATTCACATTCGCATTCATATGCTATACCAGTGTAAACCGACATGTGAACTCCCTCTCTAAAATGATTCATACATATGTGTGTATACATATATATATATACAGAGAGAGAGAGAGAGAGCGAGGACATCGATAGACATATGTTGACATGTCACACATATCGACATAGAAACGATACCAATACACTAAGCTAGACGGCCATCGGCCTGAACGAGCTGCGTAGTACAGCGCCGACCGACCAAAGACATCCACCTGACCGAGGCTACGATTGGACTCGTCGAGTTTTCATGAGAGGTGTAGGGCTTTGGGTTTTGGGTTTTCTGACTCTGACATGGCTACCATCGCTTGACCCCAGGCTGGCTTGTACCACCTAGAGGGCTAATTAAGCCTTAATTTCGAGTCCAGACAGCCATCTTCAGATCCCAGCCTCACGGGCACTGCACCTCACCTCCAGCAAGAGTTTCAGGACTTCCATCTTCCATTCCTCCTGGCTGTTACCCATGGCGTAGAAAAGCGGATTGCGGCCCTGATCGTCCTGCGCGAATTTGGTGTAGGGGTTTCGGATTCGAATCCCAATTCTTCCTGGCACAAGCTTTAAGATTTTTCAGGGGGCATGGTATCAGTCGGGGATGTGCTGTAGTAATCAAAATCAGGCACGAGTCAAGAGTCATGGCGATAAGCCTGAAAAAGCTTTTAAACTCCGGATTGGAGTAAGTTTTGTGTGGTCAGAGGAACCTTATTGAAGCAGTCATGGGCGCAGGCTCACCCGTCCAAAACAAACAGTTGGCAAGCGGTGTCCATCCGGGGGACCTTCCGGTGCTCCTCTGTCTTATACGATGGCGCAATGCGGATGTGTCTCGGTCACCGGCTCTCATGCGGTTTTCAAGTTTGCAAAGGTGAAGTGCCCCTCATTGTCCATCAGGCCAAAGAGTGTTAGTGGTCACTGCGCTATCCGATGCTTCCTTGGCGGTTTTTGGTCGGCATGCACAGAAACCCTTTGCAGCAGGCTTGCCGCGTCGCCCAGAAATTTTGAACCCATTGGCTTGTTGAAGCGGCATGCTGCAATTTGGGGCCGAAGCTCGGGCTTCGGCCGGCATAGTTTGAAACAGCTGCAAGTGGCAAGGTCCAGCTGTGTGCATTGCACACATGCTTTAGATATTTAACGTCGTGCGTTCCTCTTGCATCTGCACGTGCTGGGAGTAAATGTAGTTATGCGTGTTTGTGCCCGTGCATACGTGTGCGAGCATATACATATGTATGTGTGTATATATATATATATGTATATATATATATATATATATACCCGCGCTGACAGAAGATGTGTACACACACACACACACCAACGCCACACAATGAAATTGCAACTTCACCGTTCTCACGAGTTGTCAAGGGAAGAATCTGGCCTGACGAAGCATGCATACAGAAGGTGCCGCTCGGGGAAGTGCGCCCCGTCCCTGCATCCTAGAACGACAAAATTCTACAGTCCAAAGTAAAAGAACAACTCTCTAACGTAGGGGCCTCAACAATTACCTATATTATATTTTATTATTATTATTTTTTTTTTGGGGGGGGTCCTTACTATAAGTTTACTATAAAGCACCCCAAAACCCTATTCTAATTATTAAGGCCCCTATATTACCCTAAACCCTAAACCCTATAGACCCTAAACCCTGAACCCTATAAACCCTAAACCCTATAAGCCCTAAAGCTTACACCTTAAACTCAGAAAGTCCCGAACAAGGAGGTCATCCAGCGAGTGGGCCAAGAGAAGTTCATCCGGGACCGTTTAGGGTTT